AAAAGCTCTAGCGATGATGATAATTTGGTTGATGGTTTGTGGTCTGTTCACGATAAACTGGTTACAAAAATGCAGCATCACAAAGTTCTAAAGAGTGAATGCCAACAGATCTTAAACATTACTTAAGTCAGCCCATATGTACATTAAATGATAATACACTTAAGTTTTGGAATATTAATGGCAATACATAACCCTCAATTAAAAAGAATTGTTGAGCCTTATTTGTCAATGGTAGCAATATCAGTTTCTTCGGAGAGACTGTTTTCAAAAGCAGGCAATATTATGACCAAAATGAGAAATAGCTTAAAGAGTCAAAAATTTCTAGGTTCCATAAATTTTGAAGAATGGCACATAGAATAATTTGTTTATTGTAAAAAATTAATTAAATGTTCAAATACTCTTATTAATTTTAAAATTAAAATATTGTTTTTGATGTATATAATCATATTGTTAATAATATAATATAAAAATATAAATAATAATAATTAACATTTTAGTAAGTTTATTATATATATATTTCTATGCAAGAGCAAGTTAAAAAAAAAATGTAGAACATTTTAGTTGACTTTTCTAATAAATTATTATGTTAGTAAATCTATAGATCCTCAAACATATTTTTGTCTAAAAAAATTACTGTTTCAGCAGATTTACCTGAAAAATATTGGTATACAATTAAAATGAATTTTATTGAAATTGTATGTTATTAGTAATATTATCTAGGTTATTTAAAGTGTTTTTCAGAAGTATTTGTATTTGAATACTTTTCAAAAAGTATTTAAAATTGTGTATTTTAATACTTTTATGTGAGTATTACAAAAAAGCTAAAATAAAATTTGAAAAACTTAAACTAAAAAAAAAAAAAAAGACATTAATTTTTTTTTATAATTATATAATTCTTTGATATACATAATACTTTATTACTCTAGAACAAATTATAAAATGTCTTAAATTATTGATATTGAGTATTATATATCTAATAGTAGGCAATAACAATAATAGGTAAACAATATAATAGGTTGTTCATGTAGCAATTTTTATTTCTTACTAAAAAAATACCGAAATGTTAATATTAAAATTAAATTATTTTAACAGTATTTATTGTATTTATATTTATTATTGGCATAGTTATTAGGCTCTATTTTCTATAAACCTTACTTGCTTATGACTTTGTGTAGTTGTTTGAAACTGGTTATTTAATATTTTTGGCTATTATTTAGTAAGATTGTGAGTGAATCTGAGAATTTTAAATAATAATACACTTCCAAGGATAAATTCTGCTAAATAAAATAATTATATTATATTTAAATTAATTAATAAAAAGTTTAGAAGATTGTTCGATCATATATTTATAATTATTATGCAATGTTAACAATAGTATTCAGAACAGGCGAACATAATCTATTCTGTCGTAGTAAATAAATGTAATAGAATTTGAATATATATATATATATATATTAGGGTGTCCCTTATTTTGAAAATTTTGGAAATTCTTCGGGCTCACCCCCCAAATTTTTGTGTATACATATAAAAAGTGGCTACAAAAAATTTCAGGCCGATCAGATAAGTTTAACCCGTGCCGACTTGGGGTTGAAAATCGGCCAAAAGGGGTACTTTATTAGTTTTTAGCAATTAACTCGTAAATTAGCGCTCTCACAAATAAAATGTTAAAACTAAATTGTATATCTAACTGTTTTGTATAGATTAAGTCCTTACAGTTTTTCTTTTAAATCCATTAGTTTTCTAGAAAAATGTCAAAATAAATAATATTTCGTAAAATTGCCGAAATTAGCATATTTACAAATATTTCATCATATATGACGAACCATATGTGATACGATTTAATGTTTCATACAAAAATTATTTAAAATTAAATTTTACGAAATAAAAGTAATAAGTACAAATTTCATTGAAGCGATCGTTTTATTGCTATAGTTGAAATAACTCGATCATATTACGATTCTTACTAAATATATGAATTTTATTGTTAGATTCTGTCAGTTATCATCTGGTACATTACAACACTTATCGTACAAGTACGGCGATAATACTATGGTATGACTGGATTAATGTATTGTTATTATTTTTAAATTATAAATAACTCTGGAAATCGTAAATTTATAAGGCGTATTTTACAAAAGAATTCTCACAAAATTGGAGAAACGTTTAGAGCAAAAGAAACTGAGTTTATTAATAATTTTGATAATTTGTTTGATATCGCTCACACCGATACTTTAAATTTGATTAAGGTAGTTACCGATAAACAATTTTTAATGAACCAAAGACTTCCTGGTCGAATTGGTTGTCTAGGTGGCATCGACCAAAAATTATAAAAGAAAGAAGAGAAATCTAAAATGCGTAAGATTAGGGAAACAGAAAGGCTTAGTGAATACCAAGCCGGTCCATCTACTTTATATTCTACGCAAAGTATACCTTATTTATCAAATGATATAATTATCAGAGACTCGGGCATTCATAGGTTATCAATTATGATAACTAGTAAAAATCTAGATTTATTAATTGATATACCGAAACTGAAAATTTCGACGGAGTATGAACAAACTAATGCTGTTTATTGTGCGTTAGACGATTGGGGCTTATTAAATATTGTCCAAGCTCTATGCTGCGATACCACAACATCTAATATGGGACGTTTAAAGGGTTCGTGTATTTTACTAGAGCAAAAATTAGAGAAAGATCTATTGTATTTACCTTGTCGCCACCTAATATATGAACTGATTTTACGAGGTGTTTTCGAAACAAAACTGCCTCAGGTAACATTAAGCCCTGATATTCCCATATTTAAAAATTTAAAAAAAAATTGGAATAATNCCATATTTAAAAATTTTAAAAAAAATTGGAATAATATTGATGTTTTTAATACGATGTGTGGAATAGATGACGTCGAATGTTGCTCTGCACTTGAAAATTATTGAAATGATATTCTCCAGTTTTCTAGGGAAATGTTGCGAATCGGATGTTTTAGAGATGATTATAGAGAATTGCATCTATAATATTTTTAAATGGTGACTCAGATAAAAAAATTTATAAACACCCTCCTGGAGCCATCAAGCTCGTTGGATGAGTAGAGCAATATATTGCTTAAAGATTTATTTATACCGAAAACAGTATTTACTAAAAACTTTCGAAATAAATGCTATTCGAGATATATGTATTTTTATTATTCGATTTTATTTAAAAGCCTGGTTTAACTGTACTGAACCGTCCAAAGCTCCGAATAACGACTTAAATTTTATCAAAGAATTAAAGTTATACGAAAAAGAACAACCGAAAGCAGCGTTAAACAAAATTTGTAATAATTTATGGTACTTAATAGAGGAAACAGCTGCTCTAACATTTTTTGACGATTACATTTCAACTGAATAAAAAAATTAATGGTTGTATCCCTTAATAATGAGTCAATAATAAACCCTAGCAAACGTTTTATTCTTTCATCAAGTGATATAGACAAATCATTTTCAGGTATAATAATTTTTGATATCTTTAATTTTTGATGACTATTGAGTGATTGATTTTTTTTTTTTAGAAACATCTGTAGCTTCTTTTTGTCAAAAAACAGTATGAAATTATTTAAACGATTCGATATCAATACTACTTTTTTAAATTTGGATCCAAGTAAGTGGAATACTGATGATTTTTATTGTATTTACACGGAAAAGAAATTGTATGTTCACTTAAAGTAATAAATGACTCTGCAGAAAGAGCGGTTAAAAATATTTTATTGTCATTTCGTAATACTACGGACATTTTTACGTACACTAAAAGAAAAACACAATAGGAAGCAGTTCAACTTAATACGCGACTAAAGTGGTATAAGTATGAGTTCACTATACCTATTGCTGCGATTTCTAATAAATTTACGATTTCCAGAGTTATTTATAATTTAAAAATAATAACAATACATTAATCCAGTCATACCATAGTATTATCGCCGTACTTGTACGATAAGTGTTGTAATGTACCAGATGATAACTGACAGAATCTAACAATAAAATTCATATATTTAGTAAGAATCGTAATATGATCGAGTTATTTCAACTATAGCAATAAAACGATCGCTTCAATGAAATTTATACTTATTACTTTTATTTCGTAAAATTTAATTTTAAATAATTTTTGTATGAAACATTAAATCGTATCACATATGGTTCGTCATATATGATGAAATATTTGTAAATATGCTAATTTCGGCAATTTTACGAAATATTATTTATTTTGACATTTTTCTAGAAAACTAATGGATTTAAAAGAAAAACTGTAAGGACTTAATCTATACAAAACAGTTAGATATACAATTTAGTTTTAACATTTTTTTTTGTGAGAGCGCTAATTTACGAGTTAATTGCTAAAAACTAATAAAGTACCCCTTTTGGCCGATTTTCAACCCCAAGTCGGCACGGGTTAAACTTATCTGATCGGCCTGAAATTTTTTGTAGCCACTTTTTATATGTATACACAAAAATTTGGGGGGTGAGCCCGAAGAATTTCCAAAATTTTCAAAATAAGGGACACCCTAATATATATATATATATATATATATATAATCCAAATTAATATCAATACTTTCATTCCGTTGACTTTTTTTTAAATCGCAATCATGACTATGAGCAAACTAAGATACTCTCTAGATTATGATTGCAATGGTTATCAATTTTATTAAAGTCGACTGATAAACATAATTACAGTTTGGTAGTTATAAATTCAAATTTTTATTAATTTAAATAAAAATTTGTTTTGTTAAAATTATATTAAGAAACTTATAATTTTCATTTGTTATTTGACAGTTATTTCCATATTTCACAATCTTGTTAATTATTATAATAGTAAATAATATAGTGTAATTTACACAAAAAAAATCATACATTTTTTGGGGATTTTTTATCAGTTTTCATTTTAATAATATTTTAGGGAATTAAAATTTGTTGAGATAGTCACACTGGATGGTAAATGCCACTATAGATCTTATACAGAGTATAAGCTTAGATTTAATACACACGTGCCTTTAATCTGTGATATAAGGTTTATGAATGGTGCTTATCAAAATTTAACCTCTTTATTTTATAAGAATTGGTGTAAACATCATCTTTAGCAAAACTGTTGCGCTTTTGTATTTTTGTTGACGTATAATTTTATAAATTTATGACACGTAATATTTACAATGATGACACTATTATTTAAATATATTGTAAGTATAACATTTCAAAAATACTAAATAATTTTAAAATTTAATTCTTAAGATAGATTGACATGAATAGTTAAAATAATATCATTAATGTAACATTTACCAATAGAATACTGATTGATGATGTGTGGAGAGGTCATATTTTATTCATTATCAATTTGTCTTTAACAATAAACAAAAACTGTATTATACTTAAAAACCACTAACGATAACTTTCTAAATATTAATTTGAGAGTAAAAACATTTTATTTTAGTTAGAAATACGACAAAATATAATTTTTTTAATTTAAACTTGGTACTATACTAGGCTTAAGATACATTGAATAAATTTATTTTTATAATATTATTTTTTATACAAGTATAAATAATAAAAAAAAATATTTATTTTATCAGGTCAGTAATATGATATTTAAACATGACTTACATGTTTTTACATATTTGTTTTATTGTAATAATATCAAGAACCTCTTTTTAGTACCTAGCATTTTAAATGGTGTGGTTATAGTGAAATAAAAAATATATACCCTTTAAAATTTAAACTACATTTTGCATAAGTTAATTGAGAATTATGAAATAGAAAATAGTTATAACTATGTTTACTAATCTATGAGCTTGATACATAATTAGCACAAATAGCTTTTAAAAAATAATAACAGAAATATGTACTATTTAACATGCACATACCTTTACTTTAGTAGATATGAAGTTTGATACTATTTATAAAACATAAATATTATAGGCAATTGGCTTTTTATCATAACAATAAGGATAACAAATGCGGCTAAATAATTTATCATAGTTGATCTACATTACACTGTGGGCAATACAACTGTAATGAAATTATTTTAGTACAAGCTGCTTTATTATCATTTTTCAGCCATTATTAAAGAAAATAAATGCAATCGTATTTCTATCATGATTATTTGAAGTACTTATATATAATTTAGACTACAACAATATACTAGGCATTTTAGTATTAATAGAAATACTATAAACAAACATTCTAAGTAATTCTAGTACATTAAAAAAATAAAGTAAAATTTGTCATGAATGCTTTTCATGTCTCTAATTTCAATATTTTTGAAGTTTCAATAATAAAATGGGTTTTGATGGCCTATGTTATCCCGTCAAAATGCCAAGAATTGTAATTTCTCTATACCAACAAATGTATTTGTAACTCTATCTGTTAGCAAAATCGGCCTTTTTAATTTATACATTTATTATTAGGGTGTATTAGTAGTGTAAGAAGTAATTAAAATAAAAGAACATATTACTAATTAAATGAATTACTCTTTATTGTTTTCATAAAAACGAAACATTCGAACTGCACTACTTTTTTACTGATACTGATTGTATTTATTTTATAATTACAGTGTTGCCATAATTATGGACCTTAGAGTAGTTATTGAAAGTTCACTAGAAACTAATCGGTATTATGATATAGAAACATTTTATTTAGTTTGAAACAACAAGTAAAATTAACATAACATCTTATGCTAGCTCCACACTCTCGCGAGGTCACCTCGTCGAGAGTCTTGTTGAGTTAATGCGAGGCAAGGCAGCGCACGAATGCATAGTCTACACTCTCGTGTAGTCTCGTGACGCACTCAGTTGTTTATAGCGGTTGTACAAAATGGACGTGGTTGAAATAACAGCTGTGGCTGCATTGTGTGCATACAGTTATTATAATTTTCTAAATTTAAGCTATTCAAAAAAAACTAAACAACCCAATAAGAGGAGATGGTGGATAACAACAATACACAGAAACAGAACAAAGTAAGTTAGTTTGATATTAAGTATTGACCTTAATGGCGTAATAAGAAAAATGATGGAGAGAATAATTATAATTTGTATTACTCTTTACTCATTTTTCTTTTAGGCAAAGCATGGAAAATGTATTGGTAGAATTGTTATATGAACCTTCAGGCGAGTTTGAAAATTTTACTCGAATGTAATTATCAGATTTTGAATATTTACTCACTTTAATTTCACCTTTTATAATAATAATTAATACTTTTCAATAAATAAACATAAATTAGTAATTATGAAATAATTATATTATATTTACCTCTTCAGTATTTAATGTCACATTGAAATCGTTTAGTTTTCCAAGAAAACTTTCCATTTGATCATATAAAAACCATATTGGTCGATAAATATCATTCTGGCCAGCTCCTGATTTAATGGACGCTTTTTTCTTTCTCAAATGGCCCCGAAATGTAGCCACAATTGAATTTTTTTTTATTTTTCAAATCTTCTATGGATTTATTCAAAACCTTGCTAATTCTGCACCATGCGTCATTCATTTTTGCTTTATCTTTGTGATTACAATGCTTTGCATTCCATAAAATATCTTCTGATTGGTATAACTCTACAAATTTAATCAAAATTTCGTTCGTCCAATCAGCCATTTTTTGCACAAAACGTTATGATTTCTTTTTGTTTAATTAACTGAGGATTCGCGAGTTCAGGCGAGAGTAAAGAAGATACTCCTCACCTCGTGTCTCTTGGTCTTTTGACTCACGACCAAAATAATGATTCGAAGTGGAGCGGGCACAAGGCAAGACGAGATGACACGAGTGAACCGACTACACTCTCGTACTCGCACTGCCTCGCTTCGCCTCAGTAAGAGTGTGGTGCTAGCATTAAGTAAGAAAGGAAAAAAATGACACCACAACATGAGGCTAACAGTATAGATAGATTATAAGAAAAAAAAATTGATAATGAGATTATCATAATAAATATTTACAATAATAATAATTTAGCATATAATAACAACTAATACATAACTTTTTCGAAGCCATCATAAAATCTCATCCTATTAAAAACAGGATATATTAATGGTTTTGTAAGAAAATCTGCAAGTTAGTTTTCTGATTCCACAAATTTCAATTTCATGTTTTTTTGATATGAATTTAAACTTGACATCTAAATGTTTCATTCGATGATGTTTCCTTAGCTCTTTTGCAAATTTAATATAGGAGTTTTATTTTCAAAATGCATATTTCTTCCAACAACTCTCTTTACCATTCTTTTTTTATATAAGGTTCAAAATAAAAAATTGCCTTTATATAGCGTAATATTCTTTTCAGCTGTTCAAAATGGGCATCTGTAGTTATAGATTGACTTTGACTAAAGTAATTAACTGCTACACTTATATTTGGCCTTGAATGTAACATAACATACGTTAAACAACTAATCAATTCTTTAAATGTTTTTTTAGTAAGTTCATCATTTTGAAAATTTAAATTCTTTTCAATAGGATGCAATATTTATTTTTATTTTAATAATTATTGAAATTATAAGTATTGATATATATTTTTTTATTGACATTACAATATGAATTAGAAATTGCATTTGACTTTTGGTTCCTAGTTGTATCCAGACACCATCATTGTTATTAGGGTAATGGTCCCTTTTTAATTGAAATAAAATAATTACCTCAGTGATTATAAATATATTATAGGATTTATTATACATTAAATTTATATTATATATAATTACTCACATGTAAATGTTATATTACAACATTGGTGACTTCATGTATATATATACTCTAAACTACTTTTCATGGTAAATTATTGCAATATTTGTTAGTTGACAAAAATTTTGACGTAACTTTCTTTGGTCAATTTCAAATTGTTAAATGTCATTATTTCATCGGTACTTATCTATTTTGGATAAGCACCATGACTTCCATAACCTACGTTACACAAAATTTATATGGTCATTTTAATTGTTCAGCTACACAAACCAAATATGCATGTTAAAATTCTTTATTATTGTATTTATTTTTTGTTGTCCGGATTCAATTAAATAGACTTAACAATTAAAAGTTTTATTTATTATTTATAACTGTTAACAAAAAATCACAATTTTAACTTTCATTTGTATTTTTTTTATTGAGCGACAACACATACACTATATACACACTCAAGTAACCTTAAAAAAAATCAACTTACCGACATTACGATAGCCAATACAGTAATACCAATGCAAGGTGTAGTCTTTGGTTTGCTATCTCTCATTAAAAATTTTATTAGTCATTTATTTATGTAGCCAGATTGATTTATCTTTAAGTTACCATTTTCTTATACTAAGTTTATACCAAGAAAACATGTTGTTTCTCACTGATCTGATAAATTGAACTTCTTACTTAATGTTCCACTAAATTCATAAATAGACTCTTCAGAATTGCCAGTCATTAAAACAATATCATTCACATAGATAAGTAAATAAATATAGATATCTTTAACCACTTTTATGTAGAGACAACTATCAGAAGACTTCTTTTGAAACCCAAATTACAGATAAAATCATTAAATCTTCTATTCCAACAGTATGATGCCTGTTTAAGGCCATATATATTGATTTGTTTAGTTTACATACTAAGTTGACACCCTAAACAAAGCCTTCAGGTTGCTCCATGTATATTTTACATCTATCTTGAAAAGAAAATAATTCTTATGTATAGCGACTGCCAAAAGTGTTTGAACCGTTATTATGTTGGCTAATGGTGCATATGTCTCATTAAAACAACCTATTCAAAATGCCTTTGCGTTCAAAAATTAACAATAATTTATCAAACTTCTCTTTGACACTTTTAACATCATTTATATACTCTAAATGACTATAAATAAAACATTGAACAATGTTTGATTTCGTTTAATGATCATCTTTGACAAAATCTTGACCATTAAATTGCTTATTTTGTTTAACTTCAGTCATACAATATAATACTCCATGCTCTGCAAGTATCGTTTCCAACTGAAATCTTCAGTTTCCAAAACCATTCCCATTAAATGAAGTAACCTATCTTCTTTTTTAGTCATCTTTATCCAAGTGAATCCCAAAAAAAAATTTTACTCTTTGACTAACAGCGTTCTTGGGCCCAAAATCTATTGAAAGTTCATTAGAAACTAATGTGTACTATGGTACAGAAACATTTCATTTAATTTGAAATAACAAGTAATATTAATTTTAGCAACTTAAGTAAGAAAGAAAAAAAATGACATTATAACATGAGGCTAACAGCATAGATAGAAGATAAAAAATAAAATTGATAGTGTTATGTAAAATTGATAATGGGATTATCATAATAACTTTAACAGTAGTGTTTTTATAAATCACTTTTAAATATTTTATTGCAATTTAAATCACTAAATTAGTTGAGTATATAAATATAATACATTGTAAAATTTAGTTAATTGCAGTTTTAATTTTTAAGTCGACAGACTTATTTAATATGACTAAATTATCCTTAAAAATAATTGACTAAATTATATTATTGCTTTCAATATTGTCTTCATTATTGATATCAAGTGGTACCATCAAAGGTTTTTCAGACTCAATGTTTTGGTTATGCATTAATGCTATCTTATGTAATAAACATTGTATGTAATATCCATTTTTTGAATAACCAGGAAAATAATGAGTGCCTTCAGGGTTTTCTTTTAAAGCCAAGTATATCTAATGAAATAGACATACTTTTATTTTATTATAAGTTAAGACTTTTTAAATAATCTTATATGCCAAAAATAGGATGACAATTTTCAATTTTATTTTTTTTTCTTACCAAGAACTCCAATGGATTTTCTGGTCTAACTTTAGAAACTTGGACAAACAGTTTTGTGAGAGTAGGAGTGACATACTTCATAAGATACTCCTCTCCAGTCATTTTATCTAGTTGATCAAAATCTACCAAACTCTCGAATTCTTCTAACAAAGTAATCTGTAATAATATTTTTAAATTTTAAAGCAAAAAAAAAAATTTAATGTGTTATAACATCAATCACATTTACAATTTTATTTTTTAGTAAGAAAATTTGTTTAATTCTTTGAAAATGATTCTGGTTGATTATATATTTATTTCGTTTAATTTCGAAAAAAAAATTGAGGTCATTTTATTTTGAATGCTTAGTATTTGTGGTACATAATTTTGTCAAAGACATTTTTTACCTAGCTTCCACAAAATGGGATAGACTCAATTAAAGTAAAGTCAAATCTTGGATGATGTGGTATAAAACAAACATAATTAAGGCTGGATAAATATATCCATGAAAAGAAAAAGTGAAGAAGAGGTTCATTATCAATTGACATTAAAAGTTTGGAGGTGGTAGAAAAGTTTACATCACTCTAAGATATTCAATGCTAATAATTGGTTGATTTATGATCAAGCTTTTCAGACATTTCTTTCATTAATTTTCTTCCAATTTTAAGTTTATTAAAGTTGGGAGGGAGTAAGGATTTTGGAAAATTTTTGTTTGGAATATTTGGTGTTTTTATCTATTACACTATCTATTAACACTCTTTATCAATTCTATTTCATTCTCACTACTGTTTAGGTTGAGCATGTGATCTTAAAACTAGAACATAATCTTATAGGTAGATTTCAACAAAATTACTCTCTTTAATTTTTCCACTAAAAATTATTTTAATTACTATTTGTTTTATTTTGTGTTTAAATGGCATAACTTGTCTTTATTATTATACATTATACTTTATAATTTATAATAAACATGTTTAACACATTTAATTTGTTGAATATGACAGTTAACCTACATAATATATTTAGTTTAATTGCATAATCTACTGCTATTTATAAAAATTGTGAATAGATTAACATATTCACAGGTAAAATAATTTGTATGAATTTTATAAAAATACATTGTAAAATAAATTTCTGTTATTCAAATTTTTGTATTTTACTTTTTCCAATAAACTTTTAGCTTCAAATGATTTTTTTTGGTTTTCATCAGTATTTTGTTTATTTGATATATCTATGTTGGATATTAAATTAGAAAATTGCGTTTCTTCAAATAATTTAGATTGGTCTTTATGTCTTGGTTTAAAAAAATAATAATCTTTGATAATTGTATTGGTTATTTCATCAATGTTTATGTCTTCTGAAATATTCTTTGTAGTTTTCTGGTATTCTATTGGTATGTAGGGAGAATTAAAAGTTTTGATTTGAACATAATGAATATTTAATATTTTCAAAATATTTTTTTGATCTTCTTCATTCCAAGCTCTAAATAGAAGAAAAATATTATTTTTAGTTACAAAATATTTCGTTCTTCTACACTATTTACTTTTTTTCTTTACTTTGACGTTGTTTATGTAAACTACTTTTATTATTAATACCACTTAGTGAAGTCTTGAGTATTGGTTTATTAGCTTTGGCTTGTAAATTTGGCGCTGAAAATAGTTCTGGATCTGAAGGGGACACATTGTTTATTTCAGAAAATAATAAATGACGTTTTAAACTTTGATTTTCAGTGATATCAGTTTCTTTTTGCGAATTATCATCATTTTCATTGAAATATATAGGTAAATTTGATGATAAATTCTGATTCAAACATATTGCTAATTCTATTTTAAACAAAAATAAATTTTAATTTGAAATAACATTATTAACTTTGAGGTACATCTAAATTTTAATAATCCTTAATAAATTTTTGGAACAAGTTTACTGGGCATTCCTTTTTTTTCTAACGTGTGTTTTTTTATGCTTTTTACTTAAGTAGTTTTGAAGTGGAGAGAGGAGTCAAAAGCTGTAAGAAAAGCTATGGAAATTAATATTTAAGGAAAAAGAAGAAGTCCAAAAAGGAGATTGAGGGATATTATTGAATGTGATATGAGGTCGGCTGATGTGTGCGTAGATGATATGAGAAATCGTATTAAGTGAAAGTTTAGGATAAAGAGACCGACTACAAGTAGTTGTGTTAAAGCGAGGTAAAAGAAAAAGAAGAAGATTTAAATGGTTTTGAACCTGTTTATAAAACTATCTCCTAAAATTTGAATACAAATTTGAAACACTGCAATTTTTGAACCACTATTTCCGCACAGTTTGTCTATATATTCTCTTAATATACACTAAAAAGATATTTAATAAAAAAGAAATTATAAGATGCTCGGTAAAGAAGACTTAATAATTAAAATATTATTAAATAGCTGATTCCATAACCTACTTTTAACTAGGAATGTTACCTAATAAAAAATAAAAAAATAATGCTAGATTTATTTTTTAAAATATTTTTGGGATAATTTATTTTGTATTGTAGAAATAATTTTACTTTCGCCCTCTATATTTTAGTTAGTATATTATTTATTTTTTGAAGTAAAAATAATGTATATTAAATTACGAAAATAATACAAACCTGGTATTGTGGTATTGTCAATTTTATCTGGACAATTCTGCTCCGAAAAAAGTAGCTTGAATTGACGAATTGATGTTGGATATCCATCCAAAACGTAATTTAAATTTGCAAAAATATCTTTACGCAAATATCTAATGAAAAAAAAAACATCTTATAAATATATTTTATAACTTATTTTAATTATTTTAATTCACGATAACAAATGAACATCTTCCAATTGTCCTTCATTTGCGTCCATAGAGGAGTATAATATGTTTAACTCTTCTTCTAAATTTCCAATCACTTCTGTGATGTAAGGATCTTCTTTTCCTAATGAATCTGTCGATATATCTATATTTTTGCGTTCTTTCAGTGTCATAATCTCATTTCTCTTTATTAAACCAACACATACATAATATTAGTACTTAAGGTTTTGTAAAAGTTGTGAATCAAAAAATGACTACTATGCTATCAACTAAGTCTTCAGCAAATTGTTTCGGTTCCAAGTACTGCACGTTATAATAATTAGACAGTTTTTTTGCTAGTTTTGTTTTTCCTGAACACGGCGGACCGAGAATAAGTATTTTTGTGTTCTAATAATAATTTTAAAATTTAATTATGTATTTTATTTAAAAAATTACTTTATACAGGTAATCTGTTTTTCATATACCACTCGATTACTCATAAAATAAATACAATATTAAAAAAAAATGTTTTGATTTTTTTTAGTTATATATATATTTCTTGATTTATTAGCTAATAATGAATTTTTAAAATCACCCTTTATACCTAAAGATGTATATACAGGGTGTTCAGTAAGTCAGGAAACGGGTTTCTATTGTTCTCATTGTTTGTAACAATGAGAACAATAGAAACCCGTTTCCTGACTTACTGAACACCCTGTATATACATCTTTAGGTATAAAGGGTGATTTTAAAAATTCATTATTAGCTANAATAGAAAAAGGTGTAATTAAGAAAATGACTGTTCGATAACAGCTTTTGGATCAGTACTTCAGAAATTATTTTCATATTTATACATCGGCGTGACGAAGAGTTGGGTCATGAAATGATTAATGATAAATATAGCAGCGCCTACTCCTCACCTCCAGTTGTTACTTTAAATTGTTAATAACTTCCGAACTTGTCCAAAAGTAGTTATCGACCAGTCATTTTATTAATTACATCGTTTCTATTTTAAAAGCTAGTTAAATATGTATGTTTTGGCATTAAAAAAAAATAAAATTGACACGTATTTAAGTTATAAGGAATAACTCTAAAATGACATTATTAGCTGATAAATCAAGAAATATATGTAACTAAAAGAAATCAAAACATTTTTTTTATTTTTTCATTTTATTTTGTGAGTAATTGTGTGGTTTATGATAAATTGATTACTCTATATATATTACATACTTTAATATTGTGTTCTTCTTGGTATGTCTCCATCATTAAGTTTATTTGTTCTATTATTGATGATTTGTTATCATACCATTCGAATTCTGGCCATAACCGCGGAATGCTAGATTTCATTTTGAGATCAGCGGATAAAATATATCTGTGTAAACCCTACAAAAATAAAAAATAATTTAATATCTCTGAATTCTCCTATCAAGTTCTTACCGTTATTTTATATTTATTTAAGAAAGTTTCTAATGACACACTGTTAAATTTTTTCACATAATGTGCTCGAGTAAAAGCCTAAAATAGATAAAAACTTTTTTATATGGATTCGTCAATTTTATTTTATTTTTAAATTTACTATGATGATTTGCTGTAAATTTGGTTGTTTTGTATCAATTGCAATAAGACAATTATTTTTCACTCGTTTAGTTTTTGTGATAACTTGGTATATAACTCTATATTTTGTAAAGAAAATATTTAAACATCAATTAATTTATATTCCAAAAGTATAATGTGTAATAATTGCGTATTGTAAATATAACGTATGAATAGTACCTCGCTAAATTTTCTACATGAGTCACTGGTACATGGTTCTGACTACTTGGTACTAATAATTTACCCGAGTCAAAAAATACCGCGTCAAAGACAAACTTCAAGTGATTTTGTTCAAAACCGTAAGTCAATCCCGTCCATACTATTATAGTAATTAACATTTCCTTTAGCTATACAATATGAACAGATTCTATACAAATTGTATAGAAATAATGAGTCATTATTTATTACTTCTGCAGTATTATTAGCCGATAAAACTTCTTGTTCGAATAGATAATGATTTTGAAATGCAGTGTGTGGTCGTCTGTTATTCCTGTGATTTAAGTTAAATGTACCTGTCTATATTACGCAACATTGAAAATAAGTAAAAAAAATGAAAATATTTATTTTTACACTGATTTCTTGTAAAGTATAGACAAACTTAAATTAATGTACATATGAATTCAATATTTTAATGAAAATAGAACACTGGTACTAACCATTATTTTAGTGCCCGCCCATGTCATAACTGAAGATATAACAATACATAGTATTTTTTGTTTAACATATTTTTTATCATTTTTTTGGTGTCTAGATAGTTTTAGATAATTTTTTAAGGTTGTAAAAATTTTTCTGTTTTTCTCTAGCTGATCATTATTACCAGTTACATCTAATATTACAACACAGCACGACCCAATCAATTTTTGAACTTCTTCTTCTTTTATAAAATTTACATTTGTGAAATAATTATCCTTTATATTATGATATTGTTGTTAGTTATATTTTGATTAGTTGAAAAATATGTTTCTAATAATACTTTATCATTATTATTTTCGGTAGTTGTATAAATATCGTACAGTACTTGTTTATTAGTGATGTTACTAAAACACTGCAATGACTCCAACTTTAAGTTTTTCATTATTTTATTAATTTTATCGTAAGAAGTTTTTAGGTAATGCATTCTACTTTTTGGATCTAGTTTCAATAATCTATATAAGAAGGATTTTTTACTTTGTAGCGCACTTAAATTCTTTTCGTATAAATACTTGTAAAATTCTTCAGCTGACAATATATTTAAAATGTCCATCAAACATGGCTCATCGTCATCTTCCATTATAAAACTTAGTTTATTTTTTTCTTCTTTTTGAGACATTAATTCATAATTTTCTAGTTCATTCAATTGATTGAAAAATCTTGTTGAATTGGCAAAACTATTAGATTTTTTTGTCATCAATAACTACATTTCAAAAAATATAAATTATTTATTTCATTTCATTATAAATAAATTATAGAACTAGTAATAGAAACCTTAATTATATATTTTCCGTTATATGAACTACCTTGGCTAACAAATATTCTATTGTAACATTGAGTTGATTCATTAATTGGTATGTAATGGCTCAATTTTAAAGAATTTTGTGTATCGATTTCCTCGTCACTCATTACCTCGTTAGGATTACTCTGCGAAAGTGGAATACTTAATAAGTTCATATTTAATTAAAGAAATCTATAGAGATATCAAATAATTTACAACAAAAGCTAAGAAAAAAAATGAACTGCTAATATAATAGGTAAACTTATTCAATAACGACATTTCTATAGAAATGAAAAATTAATTCATTTTTACAGTAATTTAATAGATTAGATAGAAAATCATTATTAACAATTTTCATATATTTCAACTTAATTTTTTTAATATTAATTTTACACCATTTTATTTAAATATCAATAAAAATTTCATCTCAAGCATGCAGTTGTTTGAAGTATTAAGTAAAATTGATTAAATACAAATAGATAGACCACACATGTGTTTTTATTGGCAACGTTAAAATACTAGATTTTGGATCGGAAAAATTTTAGTTTGGGCCCAGACAAGAGATTTCATATAAGCTAATGGAATATTAAAAATAAAATCATTTTTACTTCAAAAAAAACTTTTCTTCTTAAGGTTTCTCATTCTACCGACTGGTGTTGCCTTCCTACAATTCTCCTCCATTCCTTCCTGTCTTCTATTTTCTTTTTCATATCAACATATTTTAGGCCCAGTTCTCCACATATTTGTGATATGAAATTTGCTCTAGGTCTTCCTCTTCCCTTTTTCTCTGGTATAATTCCTTCGAGTACTATTTGTATAGGATTATCATGTCTAAGAGCATGTCCTAGCCATTGTATTTTTCTCGTTTTTATGTTATCTATCATTGCCCTTTGCTCATTTACTTGTTGTAGTACTTGATTATTTGATATTCTATCTACCCAGCTAATCTTTTGCATACGTCGATAGGACCACATCTCAAATGCTTTTATCGATTCTTCTTCGCTTTTGTTGTGTGTCCATGTCTTCGCTGAGTATAATGCTATAGACCAAACGTATGTCTTCAGTATTCTTCTTCTAAGTATAATGTTTATCTTCTTTGATAGTAGGATATGTTTTTTTCGTAAAATATTAACTTCGCCATTCCAATTTTTCTCCTAATTTCCGTTTTGCATCTTGCATCATTTGTGATCGTTTGCCCTAAGTAGCAGAAATGGTTCATCTGCTCTATAATATACCAATCTACTAAGATTTCTACTTGTATAATTGTTTTTGTGATCACCATTGTTTTGGTTTTGCTGGCATTTATTTTTATATTATATTTTTTTGTTGCACAATTTATTTAATTTAACATTCCTTGGAATGTTTTTGCCGATCCAGAAACTATAGTTTGATCATCTACAAATTAAATTGCTTTAATCTTCGATTCACCTATGGTCACCCCATTTCTATCGCCTCCAATAGCTTCATCCATCATATTTTTTGAATATGCATTAAACAGACTAGATGAGAGAACGCAACCTTGCTGGACTCCTTTTCTAATTTGTACTTCTTCAGATTTTTCTCTCTTTATCGAAATAACTACCTTTTGGTTTCAAAATATACTTTCAATCATGTTTACTATTCCAACAGGAAATTGTCATAATTTTAGCATCGGAATATTCTTTCCCAACTAACTCTGTCAAAAGCTTTTTCATAATCTGTGAAACATATATATATATAAGACTCTGTTTTGTTCTAACATTCTCTCAGGCATAAACCGTACAGTTCCTATTATATCTTAGGTTCCCAGATTTTGGCGAAAAACCAACAACTTGGGTGTCTGAAATACTTCTTTTTGTGCATCTATCCGTTTTATTATTATATTAAGTATAATTTTTGACATATGTGGTATCAAGCTTATTGTTCTGAATTGAGCGCATTATACTGGATTTGCCTTTATTGGTATTGGAATCACTAATTTTGTTGTATGTGTCTCTTGGCCATTCTCCTGAATTTAATATTTTCTTTACTAATTCCAACATTTTGAACTGCATTTTTTCGGTCGCTTCTTCTTTTAGTAAATCAATGGGTGCCCATCCACGTCGGGGGCTTTTTTTGTTGGAAACATTTTTCATGCAAGATCGAATTCCTCCCTAGTTACTTGTAATCTTTGATCTCTTTCTGCATTCATATGTTGTGGTTTATATGTTCCTTCATAGAGTTCTAAAATATATTCCCTCCATCTTGTTTCTCAATTTTCTTTTATATTGTTTCCAAATTTGTCCTTCAGGTTTTTTGCTTTTTTTGCTTATTTTTCTTTGTTAACTTTTTGACATGTGCATGGATTTTGTCATGTTTTCCACATTTCTGCAGCACCTTCCTTAACCAGTAAGTGATATTTCCATCTCAGTATTACTTGTAACCAAAACACAAGGTAAAATAACTGGTTCTGTTACTGAAGTACTCTTATGACTGGAAATAATTTTGTTTGTTAGTACAATTTCCAAATCATTTTTTTCTTCATTTTTATTTTCAGAAAATGTCATAATCTAATTGACATCAATTTTTGTATGTCTTAAGAAATATTTTCTATGTAGAAATTCAAAGTTTTTTTTTCGATTCTGAAGAATGCAAAAAATTTAATCAAAACATTTAAATAAAAAAAAAAATCATCTTAGTAAATTCAATATTTTCTCAGATTTTATGCTATAATAACGTGATAAAAATTTATTTGAATTATCTTTTTCAATGTATTTTATAATATATTAAATGACATTTGTTTTAATTAATGACCGTATTTAACCATTCTTCAAAATGATTATTATAATAGACACACATTCTGTTTACTGTTATATAAAAATATAACATATAAATAAATAAAAACCATTTAGACTTCTATAGTTCATTACTTATTTAACTTGCCTATTTATACATCAAGTAACTAAAATTATAAAAACGTAAAACTAAGACACTATTCTTTGTTTAAAATTTAAAAAAAAGCTGTTTATACAAAAATTTCAAAAAAATATGTCTAAAATATTAATTTTTTTTTATATTTACATGATTAACTTTTACTAAAGTTTAACATTAATTAGTATTGTTTTTTTTTATTTTCTCTTTCAAAGCGCTGTTCAGCACGGCAGAACCATTCCTTAACTTCTTTTTCAAAATCTATTTCTTTTGTATTATATTATAATGAAGCTGTACTTAAAAATGTCATACAACAAGATCAATTAATAATACTAAACTTTATCACGTATGAGGTTGGACTAACACTCTCTTGTTTAAAAAAGTTTTTAAATGTAGGGTATAAATAGTAAATATTAGAAACTTTCAGACTATTTCTACTGACTTTATAGTCGAACTATAATTTATAACCATAATATATTTATAATGGCATTGCATAAAATAAGACATTAAGTTATTTCTTCACTTTTATATTTTATGTTAATGTAACTAATAATATTTCTATGAATTTAATAATTATTGTAAAAAATTATTTAATTTCATCATAGATGATATTATAAGAACTTTAGGGTGCCCCTTATTTATATATGAACGATTTTTTTTTTATGAAATTCAAAGAGTGCCGCCCGGGAATTTGTTCCTATAGGTCTAAGTATAATATCTGCAAAATTTGAGCTTCATATAACATGATTAACAGGGCGCGCTCTAAGCTCAAAGTTTTAGGAAAATTCAAATTTTTGCACTTTTTTTAATTTTTTTGCTAAGTTTTTGATCTTACGGGAAAATGATAATGAGCTTTTTTGTAGACCTAGTTATTTACTACAATTAATGTATCTAGTAATTTTTCATAAAGTCCGCGGTTTCTCGTGAAAATTAAAAAAAACTATTTATAACTTACATTTTACGAAAATTGCTCAATTTTTTGTTTTTGTCAATATCTATACAAAAATCAATCGTACAAAAAAAGGACATATTATTAATGTTGTAGTAAATCATTTTTACTAAAAAATATATTATAATGCAAATTTTCATTAAGTGAACCTTTTTGGGTTAAATTAGGAAAACAAATAAAAATAACTGATTTTTTCTGATAAATTTTTTTTTTAAATTTTCCTACTATAGATTTATGTTGATTTGTAACGGCTGCCGTAGTTAAAAAAACACTATTTTTGTGTTAAAATTTTCGATTTTCGATTTTAAATTTTCAACTTAAAAATGCTATAACTTTTTGAAAAATGTATATATCAGCACAAATTTTTTTTTTCTAAATACATTATAAGTACATCTTTCATTTGACATACTTTTTATTAAAATTGGACAATTTCCCCTTATATAGGGGGCGTTCAAAACTTAAAATATTGTAAAAAACATAGATCTTTTTCAACTGAACTTTTGAAAATGTTCCGGAAATACTGCGTCCTTTAAACATATATCAAATCAAAG